TCTTCTCTTCTCTTTTTCTACTGATTCAAATAAAGTCGCGAACTTTACTGATATGCATGAAAGCATGGCTTTTTGATAGCGTTGATAAGATGTTTGCTTAAAAATAAGTTTTATCTTATCTAATCTCTGAGATTTCGGTAAACATGATTTGATTTTTAAGCGTTTTGGGTTTTCTCTTCTCCGTTAGCGCACTCTGGTGGTGGTGAAAAGAGGTAGGTGCTTTGGCAACGCTTTTGGGCTGCTGCTGTTGTTTGTGCGCTTTGCTTTGTGTACATTTTCAGTTTCATTTCTCTTTCCGTCTCTCAGACCATTGACTTCAGTCTTTGTCCCCGAATTGGCCTTTTTTTAAATTGATCACCACCATCAAGATCACCACCTTCTTATATTCCATCTTTGCCAGTTTTTATCCCCACCTGATTTCACAAGCCCAAATGGCAAGCAGAAAGCTGCAACTGCGGTAAGTTTTGAAGTTTTGAAGTTAACCCTTTTATCCTCAAACCTTTTCCTGATGTTCCTCTACAGAGTGAAGACTCGCTCCGGGCAGTTCCTAGTGGACTCGCTCAGTCTGGAGGAGAACAGCATCGGCGAGCTGAAGGCGGCCATCTGGAGTCTGACGAAGGTCCATCCGGACCAGTGTCGCATCAAGATTGGCTTTCCCCCGGAGGAGATTTTCCTCGTCGACGACTCGCAACGGATAGGGGAAATTTTCAAGAGTGCCCGCGAGACGATGTTGCTCGAGGAGGAGGGAACGGGAGGAGGCGGCGGTGGTGGAACAGGTAAGAAAAGAACTTCTTTTTTCAAAACAAATCAAAACAAAATACTGATTTCTATTTCTATTTGTGTAGCTCCAGCAGCAGCACCTCCTCCACCTCCACCAAAACCAAAACGAACGATGCACCGCGTGGAGGTGCCCGCCAACAACTCCTGCATGTTCGTCTCCGTCAACTACTGCCTCACCAGGCGCCTCCGCCCAAAGTGCCCCGAGCTGCGCGAGCTAATTGCGAACACCGTCAAGGCCGACCCGGAGACCTACTCGGAGGCCTTTCTGGGGAAGCCGAACAGCGAGTACTGCACCTGGATCCGCAACGAGGACCACTGGGGCGGCGGCATTGAGCTGAGCATCCTCTCGAAGTACCACCAGCTGGAGATCGTCGCCGTGGACACGCAGAACACGCGGCTGAATCGCTTCGGCGAGGACCAGGCCTACGACCGGCGGATCTTCCTCATCTTCGACGGCATCCACTACGACCCGCTGATAGTGAGGGACAGCGCCGACCCGAACAACCAGGAGCAGGCGATCTTCCTGGCGGACGACGCCGAGGCGACCGAGCTGGCGATTGCCTTTGCGCGGGAGGCCAAGGCGAAGCACCAGTACACGGACGTCAATCGGATGGTGCTCCGGTGCGGCCAGTGCGGCCATACTTTTCCGCAGACGGAGGCGCGGGCTCACGCCAAGGCCACCGGACACGCCGACTTTAGCGAGGTGGTCGGCTGAGGAGGAGGAAGAAAGAATACCCGAAGAAGAGGTCACAAATCACCGAGTCAACCACCAACTCTAGATGCTAAACAATGCCACTCCACAATCATCATCCCCATCGTCGCCCAGCTAAACCACTCTCTCTTTTCTCTTTCTCTAGGCTTTTACTAAATGTTTATCTATATCCCGGTGTCAAGATATCCATCCTTTCCATTTGACTGAAAAATTCATGTGCCCGATAGCCACTGTAATGCACACAGTAAATTACATCGCTATTATTTTATACGGCGGTGTGTCAAAATGAGGGGGAAGAATTTATTTGCGGCAAAGCGATTCGATGCGCTTTTTGCTGTTGTGACCAGACCACGGATGATGATTCATCAGAGTGGGTAGTCGAATGTCATCCCTTAAAATGAGCTTCTCAAGTTCAGGTGGAGAGATGTTCAAAAGGAGGAGGAGGAGGAGGAGGTTGTCATGACGATCTCTCCTTTCAACCAGTGAACCCTAACTCCAGCACTTCTGTGAACTCGCTCTTTTCGTAGCGGGGTGATCAACAGAGTGGCAGTGGCAAACGACAGCAAACGACGGCAAGCGCTCAACTAACGGCACTACGGGGAAAGAGGGGGAAAAGGCTGAAAAGGCTGAAAACTGAACAGAAAACAGCGGCTAAAACTGCAACCACGCAAAAGCGCAAATGCCACAAACGGTGGTGGTCAATGGAGTGTGACTGGAAAAGCAACAGCAGCAGCTCACCTCAGCATCAGCCTAAACACTCTGAAAGTAGTGAACATTGAAGGAGGGAGGGAGGAAGGCAGCTTTACCTGTCGTTGTTGACGTCGTCGTCGCTGTGAACACCGCGAACACAGCGAACACACAGGTGCACCGTACCACTCGCTTCGACACTAATAGACGATAACGAACACTGCTGCACGCTGCCGTCCTGTCCTCCTGTCCTCCTGTCTTGTTGTCCTGTTGCTGTACTCCTGCTGCTGTCGACGTTCAGCGCTCACCGTTCGAGGATTCAAGGATTTTACAGTCGATAAGGGGCTGAGCACGATCTCCACTAGCTCACTCAGTCACTCACAATCACACTTACACACAATCACAATCACAGCTCAATCTAACTCATTTACGGCGTGATTTCGCTCGTTCACTCACTCAATCGCAAACCACAAACCGCAAACCACAAAGACTACGTCGACGTCGTCGTCGGCCATTATGTCGCCGTCGTTCTTTTGACATCCACCGAAAAAGATAGAGAGAGAGAGAGAGAGAGGGCTGCAAAGAAAGAAAAGAAAAGCAGCAACAACAAAAGAACACTGTACCTGATAGCTTAATTCGGCGCTGCCACTGAAATTGCT